TTATTATTATTATTATTATTATTATTATTATTATTATTATTATTTCTCCAGGTGCCTTTGATGGTTCAAAAAGTAGTGACTTTGCAGTGACAGCAAGTTAAAGATAATGTGAGTATGGTAAAAAAAAAAAAAATCTGACAAAAGGTTATTACTTTCACATTGCAGCTGATGCCTGCCTTTGCCTTTGTTAAGAGCAGGTTCAATACCTCCTGGAGTTACAGTATGTCAACACATCTGGACAAAATTAAAACAGTCCTAACCCTTCTCCTTTGAGACACTTTAAAAAAGTAACAAACTTAGCGTTACACTTATCAGTTAATGTGCAACAAAGTTTATTGAAGACGTGTTCATTATTATTTGCTAGAAAAGTGAACAAAGTTGAATCGCGCTAATCTTGACACAACACTGAAAACTAAAAGTAAAAACTTTTAGCCACCAATTTAAAATACAATTTCAAATTCCAAGAAGGTGGATCATCTGATTTTTCTTTTTATACAGAGTCTTAAAAAAGACAAAGGAGTTATACTTATTGAATTAAACTTAAATTAAGTTTATAATGACAGTGGGAGGCAGGTTCCCTCCCTTTTTTATTTTGCATGATAAAAATAAATATGCCTGTGCAACAATCCTCTCAGTCTCATAAACATCTCTCTTATAGCTGCTGGAAGGTCATTCCTCCCCAGAGACCACTGAGTGCTTTTTGTTACTCTATTAGGGAGTTGAACTCCTTGCTGACTCACAGCCACTGCCCGTCCTGCTGCTCTTTCTGTTGCTGAAGCCTTGAACTGAACTTCCCCTCTCCAAGTGTACCCCACACTTTTTACAGTCACGTTCAGTTTTTCACTTTGAGGAAAGTCAACAACTCTCTGTCGCTGGCTGATATGAATAGTGCACTGAACTGTGTGGGGCACTTCTTGAACCACTGCTGCAGTGTTGACCCTTAACCAGTGGGGGGCAGTCCAGTTCTCCCCACACAGGTCACAGGGCCAGGGAGCATCACAGTGGGTGGTGGGCATGGAGGTGGGCAATTCAACCTGCCACCAGCTCGCTTCCTGTCTCTGTTTGACATTGGCTTCCGAGCACACGGATACTTTATTAAATATTTCTCAGCCAAAATGAGCTTTTAATATCACTGACACCACAAATGTATTAAGAAGTATGGAAAAATGAGATCTGGCAGCATGTTATGAGGAGTGACTTCACTCTAAATATGCCCCAAATGGCTGCCGTTTATCTTTTTTAATACCAAAAATGCAATTTAGCAACACTGTGTATTTTCATTATACATTAGTGTTTAAGAGGCACCCACTGACAGTGTCAACTTAATGCTGTCAATTAGGTGTTTTATTCCAGGGATTATGAGAAGGATGAAGAAGGGGTTTCATGTGTTCTCCTAGCCATTCCCCAGCGCCTGCTGTACAGCTAATCTAATACATAACCCCCTGATTTGTTTAATGGATGAGACTTTGCTGCTGCAAGAAGCACGCCAATAAAAGCCAGGCCCTCCAGAGGCTATTGTGCCTCATAATGATGCCAGACACACAATATGAGCGTTATGAAGCAATTTTTTATCATGCGGCACATTGTTTTGCTCCGTCGGTGGCGTGCAAGTAAAGGCAATCTCTCCCTGCAGCACAACACTTCTGCCGCACGCTTAGATAAACCTTCAGTGTGATAAACTGTGCCAGCCACGTGTTGCAGAGAGAAAAGGAGCCCGGATGAAAAATGCACGCCCAGTTGTGATGCCAGTTATTGGCTTTTCATTAGCTATTTCTTATTCCTGATTGGGTTTTTATTCACTGTTGTGTTAAAAGGGGTAATTTTAAAAAAATATGAATTATACAGACGTAAGCTCCATTAGGAGAGTATCTGTAAAATATGAGTGTAATGGAACCAAATTAAATATAATGTATAGTATAACAACCAAAAACAATAGAACTATATATATATATATATATATATATATTATTTTTTTCCCTAACATAATGATGATGTGACTTGACCTGGCAGGCACTTGCGCTCATCTTAAGGCAC